TAAAAAAATTCCCAGCTGGGCTGGAGTGATAGTACAATGGGTAGGGTGCTTGCCTTGCTGTGACCAACTCAGGTTCTATCCCTACAATCCGATAATGTCCCAGGAGCTCGTCAGAGGTGATTCCTGAATGCAGAGCCAGGAGTAATCCTGAGCACTGCCAGGTGTAGCCCCCAAACAAAACCAAAACCCAGATCTCCTCTCCTTCTTGATTCCAAAGCATGTCCACTCTGTTTCTGAACTGGGAAGCAAATCAGAAGCGTACCTGGCTGACCTACACTTCCTACCTGAGATTCAGCCCTCTGGGAACTCCTTCTTTTCATCTATAATCATCCATGCCGATCGTTCATGAATGATCAGTTTGAGGCTCTTCATGTTCCTAGAACAAGCAGATGCCATTGGGCTACACTAGCATGCGACAGGGACGAATAGAGACATTACTGGCGCCCACTCAAGCAAATCGATGAGTAACGGGATGTCAAGTGATCAAGTCATCCATGATTTGGGTCCCACAAGCCATACATTCTCTAGCTTGGAGATCCTAGGGATTTATCTAAGGTGTTGTGGAGAGGCCAGCAGATCAAGGAGACATCAATTTAGGGGGGAAAGCAGTGACTCCTGCTTTGTAGATCTCTGCCCCATGTAAAGAACCACGGAGAATAGTGAAATAAAAGGACCAGTCCAATAAACTGGGCCCCAGTTCTGATGGACTCACTGTATCACTGAATCCCCATCTTGTCCATACTTTTGGTATAACCATGAAGATGCCCAAATTCAAAATAAGTTCCTTTTCTTCTTCTAAACCTCCCCCAGTCTAACATATTTTATTAATTTATCAGATCACTTCATTCCAATCAGATATGAATAGTTCCAAGTGACATGACTGCTATCATGGGGGAAAAAAATAACAAATCAAAGTGGAAAAAAGCCTCTAAATAAAATAAATGCAAGGATGGATGCACAATTTGCAAACCTCAAAGAGCCCTGTCCTGGTTTTGAAACTGGGCCACAAATATCTGAGTCTTCTGGGGTCATATAATGCATTTCATTTTCATGGTGCTTACAGGGAATAGAGCTCACTTGTACAGGTGCAATTTCTGTAAGAAAGTTCCTCAAAAAAGGAGCTTCGGATAACACTTCTGTCCCAGTCTCCTGTCATCTGTTTCCCCAGGACATACCAGATAGGTCTGGGATGACCTCCAACTCAGCTAAATTCACTTCCTCCTTCTATTTCTGGGGGAATTCAGGAGCAGGGTTAGCCTGGGATCCTTTTATGTATCCGTAGAACATCCTCCTGCCCTCACCCCCAGGATGAAGTTTGTAGTGAGGGTTTCAAGAAGCTTCTCACATCCATCCCTGGACACCCAACCCACCTCCACCAGGTCTCCTTTGCCACTCAATATGCAAACAGTCCCCTGAGGTCAAGTCCCCACAGCACAAAGCTCGGCTGTTCTATCTAGAGGGGGGTGGGCGGGGGGCCTTTCTGCTCTGGTGACGTCACCAGAGTGGGGCTCCCTGAACCCACAGAGGTTTCAGCGTCAATGAGAGATTCCAATCCCTCTGTCAGCCTGGCCATGGCTCCTCTCCTGCTTAGTTGAACCCAGAATGTTGATCCAGAACCAGCTTTCAACATGACTTGTTTTGTTCCTCTTTCATCGTCATACTCCAGGTGGCACCATTGTGGGGTATATTTTTCTAACATGAAAATGTGAGCAGGAAACACAACTTCCAAAGTATTAAACAGGATTAATCATTCGGGGCAGGGAATCATGGACCACACCAATTAGAAAAGCAGCATGGACGTCATTTCCTACCCAACTTCTACCATTAGTGTTCATACTATTTAACTGGCTCTTCCTTATCTGGTGCTCCTGAATGCATAGAGCAGCTCTCATCCTGACCACATGGAGACGGGAACGCTCTTCCCCCAGGCAGCAAGGGTGGGCGGACACAGGCTCCCGACAGCTCCCATGTGAAAGCACACAGGGGCCATGGGCTCTTCTGCTCAGCAGTAGCATGGGGTGGATAATAAGTGAGGTGAGGCACTCGAGGACACCTCTGGAGGCCACTCTAGAGTTGCCTGAGAGTGAGAGAGGCAGGAATGATAGTAAAGCTGCTAGGGCTTACACAATGTTGGGACAGTAAAGCTCTCAGGAATTCCTGTCATCTCGGATTGCAGCTTTCACCCTGCTGACCGGCAAGGCCTGCCTTGGTGATTGCTTAGGGGGCATGGGAGGTGGGGGGTACAGCAGGGAGACACCCACGAAGGATGCTATCAAACTGTTCACTGGGGGCGCCTGAACCCAGCATCTTTCAGGCTAACATTCCTGGTTTCCAACTCCCAAGGTCAGGGTCTGGCCCATGCCAAAGGCTGAGAAACTAACTGCCCGTTCCTCAGTGATGCCACTTCCCAAGAACAGGTTCGAATGAACAAAGTTCAAGATGGCAAACCAGATGTCATTTTATTTGGGCAGCAAAGACCTGTTGGAGGATGTCCTGGGCCCCCAAACACAGCAGCCACCGAAAAGAAAACATAAGGAAGAATCTTCCTAAGGAAGAGTCAGGAACACAGGGAGTAGCCACTGAAGGTGGCAATCCCCTTCTGGCTCATAATGCCCTGGATTTCATGGCTGAATCTACAGTTACAGAGTTTCTAGAAAGGAGAAAGATATTATAATAAGCATCAAAACAATTCACCGAGGCTATGAGACACTAGCACACAGCCCAGAGCACAGGAACGGGTGAACTCAATGAGGGATGAGGGGAAAGGCTCCCTTCTCATTTCTACACAGACCTCAGCTTAGCTTCCACAGTGATGGTTCCAGGAAGTTCAGGAATGTATTGAGAACACAGATGTCGATGGCAGTGGAGGCAGTGTCCAGAAGACAGGAAAGTGCAGGTGTAAAGGGCGATGAATTCTCCAGTTCTGGCCTACACCAATATTCCTCTGACTCTGGACACACTTCCTTTCTCATGGGCATATGTGCTGTGCGTAGAGAATATTTTGGTTCGCCCCTAGCTTTGGGCCCAGATATCCAGAGGCCTATCACCACTTGATGTTTTTAGGAACAAGTTCAAAATGACCCAAACTAAATTTGTGATCTGCCTTTCTGCCTTACCTGTGTCTCCCTTTGTCTCAATCCTGAATGACGACACGTTCTACCCAGCCACTCCCAACTTTCTGCTGTCTTCAACTCTGCCCTTGAAACCTCTCAAATCCATTCCCCTCCTTTTCAGGGGGAACCACTGCTCTAGGTAAGACCCTCATCTTTTCACTGGAATACTGCAACAGCATCCTGACACGTATGTCTTAACTGCAGCATGTCCAAAAGTTGCATTAGCCTATTAGATGATTATGAACATGTGACATAAAACCTAAGCCTGGAATCCATGCTCCACTCAGATATGAGGTCTCCATGGTGCTATCGTCTCAGCTCTCACTATTCCCTACCTCCCATTTTATACCCCTATAGAACTAAGATGCTATCATCCCCACCCTGCCCCAAATCCATATTATTTTCTATTACCAAGCCTCTCCTTTGAACTCTCTTCTCTGAGAATTAGATGGCACCTGTGTTAAAGGTGTGGCCTTTGTCTCTACAAATATAACTCATAACCCCTGCCCCTCATAGGTAATGGGAGACAGGAGCTGTAAACAGGGAAGAAGTAGCGGGTAGGGGTTCCAGATAAGCTAGTTCTTTAAGTGTATTCAAACCATTCTTCCTGGTTCAGAGCCACTATCTGATCAATACTTCCCAAGCCTGTTAGCAAACCCAGGGAATAAAGGGCACCCCACTGCTCGGAGTCCCTTTTTACACTGGGACTGGTATCTCAGGTGCCAGGACCTCCAGGTACTTTGGAGTGGGGGTCAGGTATTTTCTTTCAAAGTCCAAGAGATACCGGTCCTTGGCCAACATTTTTAAACCCTCTGAAGGAGAAACTTTGGAAGCTCAAGTGCTACAAGTTAGAAATCATCCTTTCTGATTCAGTGGGTCTGTGTGGAGGTGATTCTTCAACGACACATTTAAAACACGTGGGCTAGGGCTGGGACAAAGCTGATTTGGAATAAAATTGTGCTATGAACCTAGAACACAGAAAAGTATTGACACACTGTGCCTCCATTTACCTTCCTTCTGTCTCAGCCTTGGCATGGGAGTGAAAAGTCAAGTTTTCACCATGCCAAGAGAGAAACAGCCAGAAATGCTAAAAATGCAGGGAAGAGCAAACACTAGCAAGGATGCTCAGATTAGTAAGCTTTCAGCTAAGATACGGTCACATTTAACAGCAGCAGGACTAGGTTTTGGATAAAATGAAAATTCTAAGAGCCCTTAGTGAAAGCAGTACCTGCTGGGAGAAACATCACTTTAGCTATATCTTTTTCCCAGTCTCCACCCATCTATATTTCTCACCCCTACGACTATCAAGATGGAAATGAAAATAAAATGCTTGGAAATAGCTTAGCCTTTCTCAAAGCTCACTGCCAATTCTGAGTATCCCAAGTACTTTAATCTTTAGGAATTTCCCATTTCCATATTAGTTAAGAAGAGAATTCACAAAGGGATTTCAACAGGAATTAGGCTCTCCAAAGTACCTGGAGGTCCTGACACCTGAGATACCAGCCCCAATGTAAAAAGGAACTCCGAACAAATACACACACCGCAGACTCCGGAGACACACAGATCTAGTTGAATCCTGCCTGAACTTCTGTTTTCAGACGTGTGACTCAAGCAAGTTACCTAGCTTTCCAAAGCCTGTTTTCACCTTTGAACAGTGAAGGAGAGTATTAGTAGCTACCTGCGATAGCAGTTGTGAGGTTAAAATGAGATGTGTTAAAGTGCGTGCTAACAGGGTCCACCAAAGAGAAAAAAGCTCAAGACTGGCTGTTTCTGGCTGTTGTCAATGACAACTTCACAATCACATCACTGCTGTTCTTACTGGCTGCTGGGCTCCTGGTGGGCTGCTCTAGGTTAAAGATTCTCCCTAATGCACCAGGCTCTCCCCTGAGGATAGGCCCAACTGAAAACTGCCATGTGTAAGATATGCTGACAGATGCATATCAATGGGGCACATATGCACGCGGACAGTGTAAAGGCACAGAAAGGTGTGGAATCACAGCTCAGGATCACTGATCACCTCTAACCCCTTAAACTACAGAGGGGAGGAGAGTAAGGGGATAGGTGGTTACAGAAGAAAATCGAATTAACTTAAGAAAAAGTGCCTTCAAATCTGGATCCTTAGCCTTTGTAATTCACTTCCAAGTTACCTGGATTATATCAAAATAAGTCCCCTGGGTATATACTAAGCTTAAAAACTAGGAAAGTTTTGTCTAGCACATCTTCTGCTCTTGGCGAGTCAGAGTCACATTTAGCTGCTGCTGTGGGAAGATGTGTCTCCTAAGACGCTTTTCCTCCTGCGTGGGTTCTCCGGTGGGCGCTGAAGTGGGAACTGTTGTTGAAGTCTTTCCCACACTCCGTGCACTTGTAGGGTTTCTCCCCTGTATGGATTCTCTGATGAATGATAAGACTAGAGCTCTGATTAAAGCATTTCCCACACTCTCTGCACTTGTAAGGCTTCTCTCCCGTGTGAATTCTCTGGTGAGTGATGAGGTTAGAACGGTCACGGAAGAACTTCCCACACTCAAGGCATTTGTAGGGCTTCTCCCCAGTGTGTACTCTCTGGTGGGTGATGAGCTTGGAGCGCTCGCTGAAGCACTTGCCACAGTCTGCACACTTATACGGCTTCTCGCCTGTGTGCGTTCGCTGATGATTGGCCAGCGTCGAGCTCTTACTGAAGCTCTTCCCACATTCAGCACATTCATAGGGTTTCTCGCCTGTGTGGATTCTTTGGTGACTAATGAGGGCAGAGCTCTTGGAGAAGATTCTTCCACATTCAGAACATTTATAGAGTTTCTCCCCTGAGTTGGTGCTGTGCGGTCCAGGAGGATTCAGGTCCTTACTGGCACTTTGGGGTTGTTCACGAGTCGGTTCCTCGGCCACGTTCCTCCAGGGAGCACTGCAGGATGGGCTTTGGCCCAAGTTTTCTCCGGCTTCACTACAGGGGTCAGCATTTCCTCCAACATGGATTCTCTGATGTTTCAGAAGGTTTGAGCTCTGGTTGAAGCTTTTCCAACATTCTCCACATTGATAGGGCTTTTCCCCTGTGTGGATTCTCTGGTGGGTCACGAGATTGGAGTGGTCACTAAAGCTTTTCCCACATTCAAGGCATTTGTAGGGCTTCTCTCCAGTGTGGATTCTCTGATGGGTGTTGAGGTTGGAGCGGTCACTAAAGCTTTTCCCACACTCAAGGCATTTGAAGGGCTTCTCACCCGTGTGTATCCGCTGGTGGGCCATAAAGTGGGAACTCCGGCTGAAGCTTTTCACACAGGTGTGACACTTGTAGGGCTTCTCTGCTAGGTAGAGGCCTTGGTGATCAATAAGCTTTTCTAAATCCTCTTCAGAAGAACATTCTTCCCATGGTTCTTTGGAGGGATTTCCCCACTGTTCTTCACCTTCATTTTCATTTTCACTGTCATCCCCCCAACCTTGAGGGTGGCAAACATCTTCTGTGGTACATTTTGATAAGGGTCCAGGCAAATCCTCAAAAATGTCCTGCTCTGACATCTGGTCTTCTTCCTCATGCCTCATTTCAAAGCCTGAAAGAACACCAAGAATGACCATGATTTCATTCATTCATTATTTAGCATCTATCTTGTGAAACTGGCTAACATGAATCTGTATAATGTATGTTATTTATTTTTTTTTTTTGTCTTTTGGGTCACACTCGCCAATGCACAGGGGTTACTTCTGGCTCACGCACTCAGGAATTACTCCTGGCGGTGCTCGGGGGGCCATATGGAATGCTGGGAATAGAACCCAGGTCAGCCACATGCAAGGCAAGTGCCATACCCGCTGTGTGTGTTCCAGCCCCTCATGTATGTTATTCTTCACACCAATTTATGTCAAATTCAACCAAGAAAAAACTGATCAAGTTTTGGTGCACACATGCTTTTCTGAGCTATAAAACAGAACAGAGTGTGGTATATCATCATTCCAGTAAAGAAGCCATGAGCCCAGCCCAAGGAGCCAGCCAACTCCATGAAACTGAATAAACTCGAATTGACCTGACTACTTTTCTCATTTGTGTGATCACACTAAGATAAAAACTGGATGACTGAATCAAGGACAACCCCTTTTCCTGTTAAACCACATTCTATCACTTCAGAGATGAGAATGAACCCGACTCCTTCACTCTGCCTTCTTGTAGACTTTGTGGAGCTCCAGTTCCTCCAGGCTTACCTGCCTCTGGAGTTGTGGGACACAGGGTTTGAGGTTTTGTGGCATCTTCATCCGCCATCTCATCCCAGGTCTCCTGGGGGTCAGTCTTAGTTTTGCTCTGCCCAGACCGCTGGAGACCCCCTGGCTCCCTGAGGGCGCCCAGGGCTCTGATGGCTGTCCGAGCCCTCATCAGTGAATCCAGCTCCTCAAAGAAGGGGCATGTCCCTGGTGGGTGTGTGCTCTTGGCTTTCCGGTAGCTCCTCAGGAGGTTTTTGAATCTGTAACGACACTGCTCGAGAGTCCGCAGGAAGCCCTGTGCACAGAGCCGCTCAGCAATGGCCCGGTACACCTGGCTGTTTTGGTGACAGGTGCGAAGCTTTTCAGAAAACGGAGACTCACTGAGAATGGTCAGGAAGGTCTTGGTCTCCTCGTAGCCCCAGTGCACACCTGCTGTCAAGAGCGAAGAGTTCAGAATTGAGAGACTGCATGAATCTTGCTTTAGTCATTAGGGATCAATGTCTCCTACCATGCTAAACACCTAGCACCAACGCACCTCAGAAATGTATTCAGGTGCGTGGGGACACTTCGCTTCTCAGGGTTACGCCAGGCTTTCTATCTCCATGCCCTCGTAGATACAGACACAGACAGAAATTTTATTAACAAAAGTCTTGGCTGGAGGGCAGGATATAGGTGCCCTCCCAATGACTGGTTCCCCGAAATGCCTGTGACTGGGACCTAAGAATTCTCTTGTGCCCATCCAACACATAACTATTTACTTCCTGAATTTTCCTTTTAACAAATTTGGAAACTAAGAAACCCTAGAGATTAAAGACAGAGATGTGTTTCAAATGATCTTCCAACAGAGTCCAACAGAGAATGCCCTTTCTCCTTTGGGGCAAAAAGAACTTCAGTGTCCTAGTCTCATTTCCTCTGCAGGAGGATGATGTAGGTAAAGGAGGAAGCTGACTAGCAGAAGGAAGCCACATAAAACTGAAGGTAGATGCCCTGGGCCCCAATCCTTACTCTGCCCTCACCTCACTGGGTCCCTTTAGCGAAGTGCTTCAACTCTGGGACTTCCATGTTCTCACTGTTACAAACACTGGATGTCTCCCAACATCAACTATTCAGGTACATGCTATCATGAGTTCTGTGATACATGTTAAGTCCATTTTAGTATCTTGAACTAAGTTAACCATCTGGGAAATCATACACTGATATAATTATACACATGAATATGAAAAGTTCTAAGGTACTGGAGAGATAGTTCAGCAGAGAAGGCATTTGCCTTGTAGGCAGTCACCCAGGTTTGAACCCCAGCTCTGCAAATGGCCCCTTGAGCCTTGCCAGGAGTGACCCCTGAGTGCTACACCAGGAGTAAGCCCTGAGAATAATAGGCAATAATAAAAGTTCTCCTGTAACACCTAAGATCAACCTTACAGTACCAGTGACATATTGTGGGAAATCCTGAATTAGTTCTTTAAATCCTTAATGGCTTTTAAAGTGCTTTGCATCTTTATAAGAAAACTAGTACATATAGAACTGACCACAGAGAAAGAAAATAGGTATCTCAAGATGCCCTAAGAAACATAGTCCTTTACTCCAGTAACGTCAATACAGACTAGCTCTTGGTGCCCTGAACTCAGAGAGCAGAAATCAGGTTTGGCTGGGGAAAAGGTTTGAATCTAGATCCGATTAAATAACCATGTTCTTACCAATACGACTGTGGAACAAAGCTGGGACTCCTGGCGTCCTGGGCCCCTGAATGGACTCATCAGCGGCTAAGCCGTCACCATCACAGTCTTCCACTGTTTCTTCAGGCTCCCAGCCCCCTTCTTCAGGTTCGTCCATCTCTGCGTCACTATCCCCCAGCCTGGGGAGTGCCGCAGCCTCTCCTGGGCCATCAGTGGCTCTGATGGCTGTCCGAGCCCTCACCAAGGCCTCCAGCTCCTCATAGAAGGGGCACGTCCCCGGCGGGTGGCTGCTCTTGGCTTTTCGGTAATTCCTCAGGAGGTTTTTGACCCTGTAGCGACACTGTTCCAGGGTCCGCAGGAAGCCCCGGGCCCTCAGCCGCTCGGCAATGGCCCGGTACACCTGGCGGTTCTGGTGACAAGTCCGGAGCTTCTCAGAGAATGGGGACTCACTCAAAATGGCCAGGAAGGTCTTTGTCTCTTCATAGCCCCAGTGCACGCCTGACACCTTCATGTCCTCTGTGTCCCACGGGCACTGCTCTTCCCAGGCCCTCGAGTCCCTCCATGCCAAGGCCTGCGATGGTTTGGTCTGCTCACTATCTAGGTTTGAATCTACAGTGCTCTTTCTTCCAGAATTCATAAAACCTGGACCCCAAAATTCTGATTCTTGCTCTGGCTGGGAGATACCTGGTTTTGAAACTGGAACACCTATACAACAGAAGGAATAAAACTGATTGATTAGAAATGATTTGGTGAGCAACATGTTTATCTAAAACGTTCCTGTAAAATATTATTTCCCCATCAGAAACTAATGGTAAATTCCCATGCTAATTCCTTGAAAGGTTTTATATTACTAGAAAGTGGTAATTAAGGAGAGAGAGAACAAAAGGGAATGCCCTGCCACAGAGGCAGGGTGAGATAGAGGGGATGGCAGGGGGGGGGGGGAGGGATACTGGGACCCGTGGTGGTGGAAAATGGGCACTGGTGGAGGGATGGGTACTTGATCATTGTATAACTGAAACCCAAGCCCAAAAATTTGTATGTCTACAACTGTATCTCATGGTGTTTCACTAATAAAAAATAAAAAATAAAAAGAAAGTGGTAATTAGAAGCAACAGGATCACTTTGCCAACAATGTTCACTGACATGTTTGTTTTGTTCATTTCTCTTTAGTGCTGTTAGGAAATTATGTCATAGAAAAGAGTCACTGTCATTGGTCCACAAGATGGGCTTATGACCTAAATTAAATTAGTCCAATCAGAGTGAATTTTAAGTGTGAGAGTGGCAGTATCTCTCTTGCGAGGAAACTCACAGCCTCAATTGCCATTGGCATGTCTTTTTTTTTTTTTTTTTTGGTTTTTTGGGTCACATCGGCAATGCACAGGGGTTACTCCTGGCTCTGCACTCAGAAATTAACCCTGGCGGTGCTCAGGGGACCATATGGGATGCTGGGAATCGAACCGAGGTCAGCCAAATGCAAGGCAAACACCCTATCCACTGTGCTATTGCTCCAGCCCCGCATCTGTCTTTTAATACAGTTTTAATACTATGTTAATGCCAAGAACTGCTAAGCCAACAGAAGGAAAGTACCCAGGTCTGTTATAAATATTACGAAGCCCATTTCTACTGTGGCTGAAACATACTCTCTTCTGGACTTCCAAAAATATGAGAAAATTAATTCATAAAAAAAAAAAAGCTATGTTTCAAGAACTGTTGCCCCAACATGCCCCTGCCCCAATGAAAAGGAAGCCCTTAATTAAAATAAATATTGGGAGAGACTGAGATAGAGCAGGAGTTAAGCTTCATAGGTCACAGACCAGAGTTCAATCCTGGTTCAATCTCTTAATCACAGGGCGCCCACAAGGTGTGTCTAACACCCCCTGCCCCCTCCTTCAAAAAATATTTGAACAAAGCTAGACGAAAAGATGTTTAGAGCTAAAAGAAGCTTAAGGATAATCTAGTTTAGCATTTCCCAAAGTTTGTTACTTTGAACACTCTGTTCCCCAGATGCCCTGTGGAAAAAGGGGTCACACTGTCAAGCAAGTAGCCACAAAGTTTCCGGTATCTTACTGCACTGACTCACTCGCCTCAGCATCAGACCTATCATCGTGGCTTCTGCTTTATCCCACTCACATGACAAACTGACTCCACACTCATCCGGGGCTCTACAGAGAAATTCACTATTATTTGGCGTCCCAAGGAGATGTGCCTACAGAGAAAGGAGTATGACCATACTGGTCATGCAAGCTGGTCATACGAGCTTCAAGTGTTTTGAGTTCCATCTGATGTGGATTTGTCATTGTGTTATAGTTAGTACTCTGTCTTATGGACTTAATTCGTTTGAGTCTCCCCTTAAGAAATGGATCCCATTTGATGGATTTCTGAGGCAGCGGCAATTCCTGGGCTAGGGTAAATGACCAAGGAGACAAAGGTAATGAGACCTGAGAGGGCAGGTTCTTGGAAGCCGGCCTGGCAGCCTCTACAAGGGCAGACTCCACTTCCCACACTCCAGTCCTACTGGTGGAGTGTTGGCCACCAAGACCAGGCCTTCTTCCTACATCTGAAAGTCCTGAGACATGAGCCTTATGGGAGTGATGACTAGCTTTAGGGATTAAATGCAGCAGAAACCCAAGCTCTTCTCCAAAGGGAGTTTCCTTACCCAGGAACATACCATTCCCGAAGCTGTCTCCCGGGGGGTCCTTGTGGCACTCCTCTGCATGTTTACCAAGGCCCGTGGTTTCCTGTGAGAGGTACAAGAGAAGAACCCCAAATGTCTCTCACCCATTAAAACCATCTAGGAACCTTACCAGAAGGAGGCCAGCATGACCAGTAAAGGCCCAGGAGATGGGGGCAAAAGGCGAAGACTGACCCCCTTCACCTCATGACAGGATGGCAACAGAGAGAGGAGCTATAGAGGACAAGAACCCATGAGCAGTAAAGACAGGAAAGGACAATTACCTGGGACTCAGAGGTCACCTCCCAGTCTCTGATGATGCCCATTTTTGGAAGAGTAGGAACTCGGGAGGTGAGGACGGCTAAAAAAAAAAAAAATGTTTCTGAAACCCAGGCTCTTCCACAAAGCCACCCCACCCCTTCTTGTCCACTCATGTCCGACTTTCCAAAAGTCATGCTTGGGCCAAACTGAGACATCCTGGTAGCCAGGGCAGATTTTACTTCCTTTCTAGAGCACTGACCTCCTAAGCTGCCTTGAGCGATGTGCCTTAGATGTCAAGAGGCAGACCTGAACTCCTATGATCACACCCCCCTAGTCCCCGTCTGAAGGAACTGCATGACTAGGCTACAGCGCACGTGCCCACAAAACTGGGGGCTACATCTTCTTTTCAGCATGTATGGGCTCATTTCTCAGCATGTCCATCAGTTGCTATTCTGTACACCCTACACCCCCCCACCCCCGCCAGAATCCCTGCCCCCATTGCCGCCCTCCCTCCCCCTTCCCTGATATGTCCTGACTCCTGGTACTCACTGCTCTCCGTCAAGGGCTGAGGTGCCAGCTTGTTGCCTAGATGCTTGGGAAGATCAGAGCAGTGATTCTTCGCCCACTCCTTCTGAGACTGCTCCTCAGGCCTGGGATCCACTGGGTGGAGCTGGAGATTCTGAGATTCCTGCACTGACTTTAATGACCTGTTCTCTTCTGCATACAATTCCAGTTCCTATATACAGCCAAGATTCCCAGCCATCAGTTCAATAAGATCCAATATGGCAGAGCAGGGAATCTTCTTTCTAACTATGACTCAGAGGTTAACAGGCTTTTCAAAAATCCAAAGATGCTTTAAAGTATAACAAGAAAATCATGAAACTGATGACTTCGGTAAATAGACAAGCATTTATATTACTAATGTCTTGTTCATTACTATTCAAAAATCTCAATGAGGATACCAGTGTTCACAACATTTTTGAGTTACAGATAAATGATACATTATGACTTTAAAAAATAATCTATAAATATTAAAAAACAGATGGTTTTCTAAGTTATCAAAAACAGATCAAAGTTGAGCAGGTGAAATAGTGGAGGGGGTAAGCACTTGCCTCACATACTCGAACCCCAGTTCGATTTTGGTACCACATATGGTCAGCTGAGCCCCCCACCAAGAGTGATCCCTGAGCCAGAAGTAAACCCTGAGCATCACTGGGTAAGGCCCAAAGGGAAACATAAAAAATAGGGGAAGAAAACACAATGAACTCTAACTGTTAATTTTTATTCCAACTGAAATGCAAAGGACATTTTAAATATTGAAAAAAGGTGGTATAATGAATTTCAGATAGAATTTTAAGAAGGCATTTCTATTCTAGAAAGGAAGGAAAGATAAGTAAACTTGAATGCAAAATGAAAGTACAAGTGGCAATTTTACCTCAATGCAGAAATTCTGCCAAAAAGGACAGATATACAGAGTATATAATAATTAAGAGATAACAGTACCCAATTCAGCTTCGTCATTCATATAATTAATTTTTTTTCTTTCTTGGGTGGTTCCAAATTTAGGGAAACTATGAAGTTATTTCCCTGTCCCAAGTCCTTAATAGTTTAACAACCTCATTTAGGTTTTTTAAAATGTATCTCAACTTCTCTAGCAGGTATTTTCAACACTCACAATTCAAAAATAGAAAAGCAATGCCAGGGTAATGCTCACTCTGAACCACTCCCACCTCCTCGGTGCAGTTCCCGCCCCCAGCCTCACCACAGGTACTTGGACAGTCTCCTTAACTACACATGAGCAATTGCAAATATGTATTCTGATTTTTTCCCATTTTCACACAAAAGGTAGAGACTGAATAAATGCTGAGGATCATATTTCTTGATCCAAAACAGTGATTCACCAACTAACTGAGTTTGTTAAACATGGCTCCAAAAATCTTTTGGCCGATCTGAAAGGTTAGATTCACTCTCCAAGAGAGGTCTTGCCACTGGGAAGCTACCTGTATAGGAAAGGGTCTGGAGCACCAAAAGCCATGCCAGACAAGGAGATCCCACCGATGTCCTCATGGCTCAGAGGGAGAAGACTGCTCATCAACGCTCTTATGTGGGGTGAAGGGGGGAAAGCTCACTGTTATTTTGAAGTTGGAACAATCCTTACGTCTAGGCCTAGCTCTTCCAACTGTTGCCATGCCCAAGCAAAGATTCTTAGTGAAAAAAAAAAAAAGTCTTAACTGAGATCATTCCACCTCCTTTTTCCCACTCCATTTTAGAAAAAGTTCAACCTTGGCTTTGCCCACAGGGGTATAATTCAGAAAGTTTTGGTCTAGTCTGATCCTCTTTTTCTATAAATGATGAATCATTGAGACCTTGATTTAACTGAATTCTTATTTCTGGATCTCAAGTTCTTCACACTCTAATTTTGAAGTCCTAAGTCTTTCATTTATTTCTTTACAGCCACTAACTGCTCTTTACAAAAAATAATATGGGAAGGTAGAATAAGTAAGTAAAAGTAAAGGCCCTCCCGTTGTTCGTCGATTTGCTCGAGCGGGCCCAGTAATGTCTCCATTGGAGACTTTGTTGTTACTGTGTCTGGCATATCGAATACGTCACGGGGAGCTTGCCAGGCTCTGCCGTGCGGGCGAGATACTCTCGGTAGCTTGCCGGGCTCTCCGAGAGGGGCGGAGGCATATTTAAATAAGTATGCTCTCTCATATTTCATTCTAGAACTTTAAATATTGTGCTTTCTACATCTTCAATCAATGTGTAAAGGATTCCAAGAAGCACAGTGACAGACTTTACACCTTTCTTTCCCTAACTCACATCTGTGTGCTTTACTTTTATGACATACAGAAAAACCCTGCCACTTGCAAGGGGTGTGTTCTTAAGCCCTTAATTTCCCAAAATAAATTGTGACCAAGAATAATATTCTAAGAATTACTAATGGTATAGCAAGAAGCTTCAGGGTGATGTTGAGATGAACATTCTGAATGGCTAATTCGGACCACAGCTAAAGGACTTGCTGTATACCAGCTTCAAAGTAAGGTTCAAAATTTGTGTGATAGCAATATTATTAAGTAATATCGCAGGCCTTCAGGGTCACATGCAAACTGCTGAACTCAAGTGTTCAATCTGCAATATTTTTACTTCCCTTATCACAGTACTCCCACTAAGCATTACAACTGTGACAAGCTAAGTCTCTGTTTTTCTACTTGAAAAATGGCTATAATAATAGCAGCCACCTTAGAGGGTCCCTGAGTTGATTTTATAAATGATACATAAAAGCTTGAACAGCATCTGACACACAGCAAGTGCTCAATAAATGTCAGTCAAAAATCTCACTTTAGCCTCACAACTCCATGGTACTTTAATCCCCAAGGTCTGCAGATGAGGCATCAATTTAGGAAAAAGAGCAATGACCTGGAACCCAGGGATCAGAGTTTAGGTTCTGGGTCACACTGAGCTGTGGGAGTCACCAGACTTTGGGGGGGCTTAGATTAATTTATGAAAATGAGGACAGAAATGCTAGTTCTATCTACCTCGGTTGTTAGGGCATGCATCCCAAGAGACAACATATCTGAAAAGACTATATTCAGGATAAAATACAAGGCCGGGGACACAATTCAATGGGCTGAGTGCGTGCTTTGAATGCAGGAGGCCCAGTTCGAGCCCTGGTCCCTTAGGACTGCCTGACCCCCCAGCACTTCCAGGAGCAAACCCCAAGCAGGGCCAGAAGCCCCTGAGCATTGCTGCATAACCAAAATAATAATAATAGAACACAATACAAATAAATGAAGCCTACCATGGGTACAGTACTGGAGGTAGTGTGAGCCTGGTTCCAAGTGTTAGCTTCAGAGTTAGACTGCTTAAAGCCAAATTCTAGCAGAACCAATAGTAGCCAGTAATAGCTGTATGCCCTGAAGTCAATCTAGCTGACCTTTTTTTTGTTGTTTGGATTTTTGGGCAAACCCAGTGGTACTCAGGGACTACTCCAAGCTCTGTGCAAGGGTAAAGAGAGGGAGTTGTTCTCAACAGTGTTGAGGTGACCATGGGTTATCAGGAATAGAACCAGAGTTAGCTGCATATGAGGCAAGTGTTTTAACAAGGCCTGTACTATCTCTCCAGCCCCTCAATCTTATCTATCTTTCTGCCTCAGCTTCCTCAATGGTAAAATAAGAATAACAGGATCTCATTAAATTGTGGATAAGGTTAAACAGTTAATATATGGAAATCATTTAAAACTGTGCCTGGAACATAACAGTGCTAAATAAAGGTCACTTGCTCAATAATACAGTTTATTTTAATTCTTATTACTACTATTACTGCTTTACGGCTTGGGGGGTTATTAACCTAGTGACAGTGCTTGTTGTTGGTGGTGTTGTGGTGTGGGCAATGATTCTAACCCAGTCATACCCGCTGCCTTGCCCAATCTACCCCCTGGGAAACAGAGCAGCGGCCTCACCCGTGGTACTGCAGCCTGGCTCTCTCGGTGCCAATCCTCCACCAATGCCACAGCCTCCTCGCCACTCTCCGGGTGGTGTGCCTGCACCCAGGCCTGGGCCTCCTGGGGTAAGATGGTCAGGAACTGCTCCAGCACCAGCAACTCCAGGATCTGCTCTTTAAGGCGGATCTCCGGCCTCAGCCAGTGACAGCAGAGTGCCCAGAGCTGGCTGAAGGCTTCGTGGGGGCCTGCTGCATCCCTGTACTGGAACTGCCGGAAGCGCTGGCGGGAAGCCTCAGGGCCAGGGGCAGCATCCTTCTCCCCGGGTCTGCTTTCAGACCTCCAGGAGTCTTCCAGCTTCACAATCAGGAGTTCTTCGGGCACTCGTGGGGGAGAGTTCTGGGTCTGGGACCCCAAGGCAACAGCCATGGCCTCCTCCAATGTCTTCCTACATCGACTGTGTATTTTCCAAGGGATGCTGGGAGAGGAAGTGCTCCCCAAGTCTCTGAAGAGAGACAAAGGATAAAGTGAGCAAAGAGGATCCAGGCATCACTCAGTTCCTCCACTTTACGCTGGCCACTGCTGGGGCCCGTGCTAAGAGACATTTCTCTTCCTGAAGCAGGAAGTTAAAATGCATTCTGAAGTTACAATGCATTCTGACACCAAGACCAGCACAATAAATAAAACACAGAAGTGAGTTAAACCCTGGGATAATGGACAAGCTTTAGCTGAGCATCAGCCCTATATGATCTGGGCCAGCCTAGACTTCTCCCTTCTCCATATGCCCAAAGTCTGCTGGAAGCGCTGACGGGTAGTCTCAGGGCCAGGGGCAGCGTCCTTCTCCTGGGGTCTGCTTTCAGACTGCCACGAGTCCTCCGGCTTCACAATCAGGAGTTCTTCAGACACAAAAGAAGAACCTGACTTCCTTAAGTTAGGTTCCTAACATCACCCACTTCCTTGGTCTTAGAGTTTTGACATTCCCCCAGAGATGGGGGATTCTCCTTATAAACCCCCCTTCTCACACTCCACTTCTCCTCTAAAAATTCAGCCCAGCTGGCAACTTGCCCCATCTCAACACTGACAGCTCCCCAAACTTCAGCCAGAAACTGTCTCCAGACCCCCCACATCCAGCACCTCCAGGACATGTCCACTTGACTATCTCAAGGGCACCTCAAATTCAAGGGGTCCAACAAAGCTGACCTTAATGTTTTCTTCTGTATGAGCTCCACCCGCCAAGATGGAAGGTACCATCTACCATCCAGTGCCCCACCGGCCCTGTCTCCCTCCAACCTCCCCTACATCCATCTCTTCTCCACAAGGGGTCTGCTGACCTGCACGCACCTCAGTCCAGAGAACCACCACATTTCTGTACCCCATCAGCCTAACTCATGGCCCTGCCTCCACACCTCACACCCCAAGCCCTGCTCCACTGGCACTGCCAGACTAGATTTTCCCTGTGCCCAGACCCCCAGCCGCATCTCTTTCCCACGCTCACCCCGGCAGCAGGCAGTTCCTGCAGCAGGCCACTCTGAGTCTCCTGGTGCCAGGGCTCCTTTGGGAACAATTACCCCTCTTGGTGTTTTAGGGGTTGTTTTTTTTTTTAATTGAATCACTGTGAGATACACAGTTACAAACTTGTTCATGATTTGAGTTTCAGTCATTCAATGTTCCAACACCCTCCCTTCACCAGTGTAGGTTTCCCACACACCCATACAACCTGTCTCTATGGGCTACACCTTTCTTTTCCTTTTAGGCACTGTCCTTTGCAATACTGTTACTGAAAGGGTATCGTGTATATCACTTTACCTTCTTTCAACACTCAGTTTTTGTCCAGAGTGATCTGTCATAGTGGTCCCTTCTCTGTTCTAACTGCCCTCCCCCACCCATTTTGTGGCGAGCTTCCTACCATGGACCAGTTCTCCTGGCCCTCATTTCGAATGACTTTCTATTATTCTCATATATTTTCTTTATATCCCACAAATGAGTGCAATCATTTTTATGTCTGTCTCTCTTCCTCTGACTCATCTCAGTGTTATACTTTCCATGTCCATCCGCGTATGAGCAAAGTTCATGATTTCATTTTCCTAATGGTTGTGTAGTATTCCGTTGGGTAGATGTAACCTAGTTACCCATTTATGTGTTCTTGGATAGTTGGATTGTTTCCAGGTTTTGATTAATGTAAATAGTGCTGTAATGAACATAGAAGCGCAGATGCCTTTTCTGAATTGTGTTTTAGGATCCCTAGGATATATTCCCGGGAAGATTACTACTGGGTTGTATGGAAGCTCAATTTCTAGTCTTTTGAGGAATGTCCATATTGTTTTCCAAAAAGGATGGACCAGTTGGTATTCCCACCAGTAATGAATGAGAGTCCCCTTCTTCCTGCATCCACACCAGCACTAACTGTTTCTGTACTTTTTGATGTGTGCCAGTCTGTAATGGAATGATCCCACCACTTTCTTCACCCAAATTCTCTCTAAAACCTCACGTCTTCTAAAAGGCCTGGGCCTTGAAACAAGAGCGGTCCAGAGCAACATGCTTCCAAGGACCTTTCTATTCCTGTTACCAAGACCCTGGTCACACTCTACTGTGATTATCTTGCCCACTATGTATCCTCCTGAGGGATCTAGTGCAGAGCTCAGCACACACAGAATGCACAATGTCAACAGTGAAACACAGATCTACTAATGATGGGGAGGCAACAGAGGCAGGGGTTATCAGGAGCCCCTTTCTAATGCCCACTAGTTATAAAAAAAGAAACAACCTCTTACTCATGCCAGAATGAATTCTTTGTCCTCTTGGTTTTCATCTCAGTGACACATGCGACTTAATTCACTGTCTTGGAGGAACGTTGTGCAGTAGGAATAAGAGTCTCCAGAGAGACTGGAGCCTCCAGAGAGATTAGAGCCTTTGTTTTCCACCCCCTCTGCACCAACTTGATAAGCTTGAGTTCTCTGTGTCACTCCCAGCAAACCTGGATGACATTCAAAATACCCCTGCCACAGAAGTTGCCAGCCACTTCCAAGTGGAAATGACACAGCTGAAGTGAGAATGGAGGGAGGGTGGTCTGCGGCATTCTAGGCCATGTGGCTGGGCTGTATGGTGGCCAGGCAAAGGTGGTAAAGCCTGTCCAAAAGAGCTCTGCCTACTGAGGGAGAAGAGGTGGAGAACAACTGGTGGCTGTCTGGCAACCTCCTGCCTGTCTGTTACTGACTCAAAGTCCCCTCATCAGTGAAGAGTCCCTTGCCATGTCCTCCCCGCTGCCCAAGAACCCTGTGCTCTCATATGTCTAGCTCAGGTATTACCCTAGCCTGTTGTACACATGGGTCTCACCTCTGGCAGCTCCGTTAGATTGTCTCACTTGGGCCAGTGCTATTTCTTACTCATTTCTGTATCCAGGACCCAACTCCAGATGTCACAGCAGAATCACTTGAAGTTCTGTTGTCTCATATCAAAATGGTAGATCACCGACACTGAAAACTGAATGGGTGATGGAGAAACCCATCACCTAGATGAAGCAAAGAAGTAACGTTTCTTGAAATTCCTTCCTTAACCAGTCTTGATCATGTACTAGTCCAGCACATCTGGGTCACTGTCACGTGAGGACCAACCCACCAGTCACCTCCACAGTCCCTCTCTGTCCCCCACCCTGTACTGGGAGCTAGAGAAGTAGCAACACCTAGCACAGAGGAAGGTCAGCTGGAGTCTGGACAGAGACAGGCAACAACGCCAGCCAGGAGAGAACACTGACCCACAGAGAACATTACAACAAAAGGGGCAGCTTCAGTGTCTCAGGGCTCAAAGCTGAGTCTCAGAGAATGGGGTTTATTCTTCTGTAAAGTCTTTCAAGTCCGAAACGTTAGTAACAATTTGAGATCCAAAAGATTTTCTTACTCTTCTCTAGCTGAATGAGATTAACACCCCCCCACCCCGTCCCGAGGGAAGTAAAGACAGACAGCCAACAGCAGGTGAGTACACACAGAACTAAGTGGGGTACCAGGAAGGGCATTCCCCACTTCAGAGACAGCTGGAACATCAGAGCCCCTGCTGGGAGGATCAGCAACTGCAAGGAGTCCCCAAATACTGAATGTCCAGGATCTTCTGGGCACAGCACCAGGCCCTCCACATTCATAACCTCTCTGACTTCTCCACGTAAGCAAGTGAGTTCATCAGTGTGGAGATGCAGTCCAATGCCAACACAGAAAGAGATCGGAAGACCATAATGCAAAGTGCAGCCAAATCCAACACCAGGACACTGTCACCACTCTGCAGGCCAAACTGGCCTCAGTCCCCTCAAGCCTCTCTCTCCACTACTGGAAGCAAAGTGATTTCCGTACAGCACAGTCCCTAAACAGAGGTCAACTCTTTTACTGGTTGTTTCACCCACAGAGCCTGATCGTATTGGGCAGCTGCATGAAAGAATCCTGTGCTGGGTTTCTGAAGTGGCTCCTGACCAGAGGATTCGCAAGCTGACTCTGGATTTGAATGAACTTAAGATTTTCACATTCTGCACTGGCTTTTGAATAGAATGATTCTGTACAGTGCGACTCCACTATATCCTCCATATACATATAAGGGAACAGATCGATGAAGAAGAATCACTCAAGGTTGTACAACTAGCAAGCAGATGAGTTGAGACCAAGTCCGGTTTCATTATCCCTAGCCATGTTTCTTAATCACAGGCCTACTCTAAGTCTGCCAGTCACCCAAGTTCCTAAGAAGAACAGAGTGAAGAGAACGGGAAGGCAGGAGTGAGCGGATTAGAGCTCTGGTGCCACTCTGGCCCTTTATCAGGTGTGTGACTGGACAGGTACTGTAGCCTCTGCAGCTGCCTGATCCTCTTCGGTAACTGCCTCAAGTCCCCAAGAAGTACAATGAGAGCAGAGCAAGGAGACAAGGAATCCAGACTCAGCAGCTCTAAGTTTATAGCCAGGACCCAGAAGTGTAAATGAGTGCAATGGGTCCTGTGGCTAATTAAAGAGCACCAGAAGGAACACTTGCTCAGTGTTCCTGAGCCTCCCAAGTTTTCCTGGAGAAACCAAAGCTATAGATTTTTAAATGCTGGCATCCAAGCCAAACCATTTCAAACACTGAGAATTAGAGCACAGTAGTTAGAGTCCAACCAGTTCACACTCAGTCTGCCACCTTTCAGCAAAATGATCTCAAAGGTCTTATCTGCTGTCTAAAAAGACTTGGAGAAAGTACAGACCGTCCTATATAACAAGAGCTACTCCAGGGCTCCAACTTTTCCCAATTTCTTGGGGAGAATATTTGGGTTTCCACCATTATCTAGACTGTTCTGTTTGGAATATTACTTTTCCCCCAGTTTCTACCTAGGGAAGCTCTCTACCTAAAAATAACCCAAATGCTACTAAATTCCCTTCAGCAACTTCAAATCACTCTGAGACTGTAGCAATCACAGATCTCTTGGTGCATTTGCCGCAACGGTTAATCATTGTCACTGTATCATCATCATAATCATCAGCAGGAAAAATCATTTTCACTAAACTGTTTCAGACCAGGACAGTTGCTGAACCACCTTGGTTTCTCCATTGCCCAGACCAAAATAGTGGAAATTAAGCCAAAAATCTCAAAATCTGAATCCCTTTACCTGCACAAGGAGACTGGGGGGCATCCTGGCTCCTAAAGCTATGTGCCTGGAGGAAATATGAGAAGCCCACCCAGGGAATGTGATAGTAGGAAGAGTAACTATGCCCCAATCCCCATGGGAAAGGTCAAGATTGGTCTGTGACATCCAAAGACAAAGAAACTAGGAGTCCAGGAGGCCGACTACTTGGATGACAGTAGAGGATACTGTCTGACCTTACACCAAAAGGCTCAGTTCAGGGAGAATAAATAGTTTTATTAAAAGAATCAACTTGGGGGCCAAAGATGACACTCGGTGGGAAAGAGCATGCTTTACATAGCCAAGGACCAGGTCTGATGTTTGGCACCATAAAAAAATTTAAAATAGTAAAAATAATAATAAAGCACCAGCTTCAGTCAAATGTGTTAAGGATTCTGGACACGTGTGACTATGAGCTATAACCTGTTGGCTTTGGCTGTGAAGCACAGGAAGAGGAAGTGGATGCACTCCCAAGCCTGCCTTAAATCATTGCAACCAGTGAATCTCTTTCCAGCAAGACAGCCCCAACAGGGAGAAGGAAACTAACAGTCAAGCCTCTAGAAATTCACTGGAAGTAGCAATTTGGAAACCAGTATTAGCAAAATTCACTGAGGCCCCTATTCACAATCATCAAGTTATCGGCTTCATTTACACCAGTTATTTACCACTACTTTGGTCTGGACAATGGAGAAACCAACGTGATTCAGAAGCTGTCCTGGTCTGAATCAATTTAGTGAAAAAAATCTCCTCTAATAATGATGATGGTGAAGATGATGATTGATGATGATGATGATGATGGTGATGATCATGGTGATGATGATGATGATAATGATGGCGATCAAACATTGTAGCAAATGCAGCAAGAGATCTGAGGTTGCTACAGTTTCAGAGCGATCTGAAGTTGTGAAGGGAATTAAATAGAGTTTGAGTTGTTACTAGATAGGGACAGTCCCTTGGCAGAAACTGGGGGGAAAGCAGTATTCCAAACAGAACCGTCTAGACAATGGTGGGAATCCAAATATCCTCTCCCAAGAAACTGGGAAGAGTTGGAGTGCCTGGTGCACAGAAACTAGACGCCTAAAGCTCTAGAAGGGACTGGACCCACTGGCCCACTGGTCTGCACTTAATCCTGCAGGCGCTGGAGGCTGGGGGGTTCTGAAGGAGACTACTGTACAGCAACCGGATCCCGGCGCAATTACACATCACTGGCCACAGTCTTTGTCCTGGCGGGGGAAGACTTCTGCGGGGTCACTGACAGGAAGGGCTGGATCGACCCAGGATGGGGACGACTCCAGGAGACAGGACGACCCCGGGACAGTGGCGATCCCGGACCAGAAGGACCCCAGGTCGGGGAGTCAGCCCGCAGGACTGGGGACGATCCCAAGCAGAAGGACCCCAGAGCAGGATGACCCCCGGATGGGAAGGCACGCAGGAGGTTGGTGGGGCGCGCGGAAGGCGGTACCGATGCCTCTCACTCCCGCTGCGCCTGGGGGGACAGGGCGGGGCGGGGGTCGGGAGCAGAGGTGGGAAGATGGGGGTGTCCGTCAGGTCTGTTCTACATGCCAGGGCTCAAACACTCTTCTCGAGGTCAGGCTTCGAGCTCAGGCCCGCTCACGACCACTTCTTGCCAGAGCCCCCAAACCCATCCCACAGCCCTCTCGGGTCTCCTGTCCCTTCTGAGGGCTCCCCGGACCCTCCGGGGGCTTCCTCCCCTCCGGCCCCTCCGAAGCGGCTCCTCGCTCCCGGGGCCGCTCCCCCGCCTCATCCCCGACCCCTCTCGGACCCTCCCCGGGACGAACGCTCCATCCTCCCGGCGCCCATCACCTCGCCCCGCCCTCACCAGGGCTTCTTCCTGCCCTGGCACCTTCCCCGGACCCCTGGGCATCTCCAGCCCAGAGCCCGAGTCTTGGCTGCCCCCGCCCCGCCACCCGGACTCACCCACCGAGACACCCACTTCACAACAGGGCGGAAGTGCTCCAGGGCTCGCGCGGGGAATGCTGGGATGCGGAGTCCGAGCGGCGCCACCCCGGGAATGGCGCGTCGGAGACTACAACTCCCGAAAGGCATCGCGGCGAGCTCCAGTGGGCGTGTCTCTTAGATGGTGCCAACCAATAGCCGTGCAGATTTGTAACCGATTCGCGAGGGAGGGCGGGGTCTGCTAGGAATAGGGTCCTTTCCAAGGGTTCCGGGATAACGGCTCCGCCTGGTAGGCGGGCATTCAAGGTGGAGGGGGTGGAGCCTGTTAAAGTGGCGCTGTGAGAATCCTGTGTCGGGAAAAGATTAAGGCAGAAACCATTAAGTAGTAAGGAGAACGGAGAACTAGTGATGACCAAACTGGTGGACTGGAAAGTTGGATAGTTGTAGGTTCAATTTCTAGCGTATAGCATGACTTTGGATAAAAAATTTACTCTCCATCTGTGTAATGAGAATAGTAGTAACACTCCTGTTGCCGGCTTTTTGCGAGACTTCACATGACATAATATATATTTCAACTGTATTAACTCGACCGTGGGCTGGAGCGATAGCTCAGCGGGTAGGACGTTTACCTTGTACGCGGCCAACCTGGAAGACCCGAGTTCGATTCCTCCGCCCCTCTCGGAGAACCCAGCAAGCTACCTAGAGTATCAAGCCCGCTCGGCAAAGTCTGGCAAGCTACCATGACATATTCGACATATTCGATATGCCAAACACAGTAACAAGACGTTACTGGTGCCGCTGGAGCAAATCGATGAACAACGAACGGGAGGACAGTGCTACAGTGCTATCTCGGCTGTAAGGGCTAGCTAGCTCAGGGTCTGGACCTAGCACAGTGAATGCTGGCAGCTGGGAATGACTATCTTAAGTCGCTTTGTACAGAGCTTGGAACTTGGTGTGTTGAACGAATGTTATTATTAGAACAACAGTAATGAATCATCTTAATATCACGGGCAGTTGCTTTGTACCATTGAGATAATGAGTCAAATTCCAGCCCAACTACTTCCTGAAGCTGGGTAACTTTGAACAATGTAGGCAACTATTTTATCTTTTTTTTTTCCATTTGTAAAATGCAGGGTATACAACAAAATATACATTGCAGAGTGCTGTGAAGATTAAATGAAAAAAAAGTAGGTAAAAAATCGCTCTAGAATCAAGCTGCTTCTGTCTGACTGGTCTTACTTTCTTTTATTTCTTTCTTTAGGGTAGCATGGGGAATCACTGAAACCAGGGCTTCGGGGCTCAAAAAAAAAAGGGCTGGGGGTGGAGACAGAGGTGTTCCCCTCTGTTCACATGTGCACCCACAACTAGACTCTTGCAAGGTTAAGAGTCAGGTGCCCTGCACCCCAATTCTTCCTCCCTTACTCACATTTCTGGGACTTGATGCTTATCTTCAAATGCAGAACATAGAGGTCTTGCCACTCTGCTAGTGAGGACGTCTTGGGCAGATTTCTTACCTCATTTATTTATTTATTTATTTATTTTTGTAATCCGTATGATGGAAACAAAAGAAAAGCCATCTACCTAATTAGAGGAATAAACGGGGGTGGGGGAAAATGAAGAGTTTGGCACATGTGTGACAAAATGACTCATAATCATTAGCTATTAGTACTATTTTTACTAATGGTGATAAAACTGTCACAATATATATATGGCAGATGGGAAGTGCTTGATCTGAGTTAGCTATTGTTAAAATTGGGGAATTCTATATATTACCTATGAAGACCCAGTTTCAGTTTTCCTCTGTCAAATGCATTGCATCTTATTTCTAATAATAACCATGATTTTGTTCAGAGGACTTAATAACACCTATAGGTGCTTCCTAACTGCTAAAGTGCTCACAAGTGCCCTATGGGATTATCATCCCTAATTCACAAGGAAAAAATGGGGACTGAGGTGAAGTGATCACGTAGCAAGTAAATGCTGTGCTGAGATTTAAACCCGTGGGCAGGTGACTGACTCCTTAGGGCTTTTTCCCTAGACACCACACAAGAAAAAGATCTCCTCTGAAATACGTAGAGAAGGGGAGGTTTCAGAGATGGTGCGGCAATATGGGAGGCTGGGAAGGCTGGGGGATCTGAGAGGATGCCAAGATCTGATTCTGGAAAGGCAGTTTTAAGGTGACTCACACACTTAACGGAAATCCCCTGCAGGGCCAGCCGCTCTAAAGAGAATTGTAAGCAAGGCGGCTGAGAGAGAACAGCGTTAGGACACAAGAGGGCGCACTTCACCCTAAACGCGGCCCAGAATTGTTCTAGGGTTTCTTCCCCTTAGCCTTTGTCTAATAATGAATGCCTCGCATTTTCACAGAAAAGCCAAACTGAGGCTCCAGGAGGCCGAAAGTCCTTCACAATGTCATATATAAAAACGCCAGTGAGCATAAAACAAACAAGGTGGCAGGTCCCAAGTCTCTCTGCTTCAGTCTCAGCCAAGATCTTTTCTCGCCAAGACCTCTGCACTGGGCTAAGAAATCAGCTTCAAGGTTACAGAGATAAATTAATGACTGGCATCTTTATTACCAAAATATTTCTGAGCACACGCACAAAATGTGTATGTCCTTGTAATCTACAGGTAGCACACTAACTAGTATAACACTACCTATTTATTGTACTATCCAGGTAGTGTTAGTTTGCATTATTAGGTCCTGCTCTCAATGTCTTGTTATATAATTAACTCACCCAAAATCCATTAAGGAGGAGGAGACTAATACTATTTTATATTACAGAAGAAACCAAGAGATCAAGAGGCTATGCCAAAACCACATAGCCCAAACCATCAAGCTTTAGCAAAAAAAGGAAAGGAAGGAAGGAAGGAAGGAAGGAAGGAAGGAAGGAAGGAAGGAAGAAATGAAGGGAAGGAAAAGAAAGAGAACCAAATTAATAGTACAGCCGGTAATACACTTGTTGTGTGTGCAACCAACTCAGGTTTGATCCCCTACAACCCACATGGTCCCCCAACACCACCAGAAGTGAGAAAGAAAGAAAGAAAGAAAGAAAGAAAGAAAGAAAGAAAGAAAGAAAGGTGGGGTTTCCATATTCCAGCTGCTCAGAGACTCAGGTGAGTCTAAATGGAGCCATCCTACACATTTGTACTGGAAATCAGTAAAGTTCTTGCCTCCTGCACAGCCTGCCAATTCCTAGATAATCCAGGTGGCAAAAGGGGTCCCTCTGTCCGTTGAAGGTCCGGTTCACTTTGGCCCAGGCCCCATTCCTCAGTTTGGGAATGCTCCCGGCCCTCCCTCCTCCCCACCCACACCAATCCCCAACTTCAATCACCTCTGGGCTACCATTTTTTTTTTTTTTTGCTTTTCGGGTCACACCTGGTGATGCACAGGGGTCACTCCTGGCTCTGCACTCAGGAGTTACTCCTGGCGGTGCTCAGAGGACCATTTGGGATGCTGGGACTCGAACCCGGGTCGACCGCGTGCAAGGCAAACGCCCTACCCACTGTGCTATCTCTCCAGCCCTGAGCTACGAGTTTTGCGACCCCTTACAACCCCCTTACCTCTGTCCATGTAGGATTCTAACAGGAACAAAGAATAAAAGTCCAATGAATTTGAGCTTTTTGTGGATTTAGTCAACTTACTACAGTTTTGGAGATCTTGAGAACAAACCTCACACCACAGCAGTACCTACTGTCTCCCAAATGGATTCACTCAGCCACCACAGCCTTCTCCAAGCCTGGTCCCCAAGCTATCATTTGACACTCCCCATTCATGCAGCAGCCTCCCCCCACTGCCCTCCCTATACTCTCTCTCTCTCTCTCTCTCTCTCTCTCTCTCACACACACACACACACACGCACACACACACACACACACACACTCCAGAAGCTGAGTTCCAGTCTCAGGCACCCTCTGTCTCTCCTAGAAGCAGGCTGCCTTTTCCTATTCCCAAGGAGGGGCTAAGCACCAGATCTGGACAATGTGGCCAGCAATCTCAAATTCTGGTGGCTGCTGTGCTTGACAAACAACTTATATAGATGGGAGGCAAGGAAGTACCCAAATTCCTACTCAAGCAGGAGCCCAAGAAAGCAACGTGCTGGAAGGAGTGCAGGTTGCTCATGATACAGGGAGGTAGGAAAAGGTAATCCTGGATTCAGCCTCAGGATCTTGGGCCTAGGAAAGCAAGATAAGGGTACCTTGGAGCAGAACAACTGTAGAGACCACCCCCCAACCCCCCCCCCACTCCCACTCCATCCGTCCCCACCATCTCACCTGCAAGACTGGCATTTAAAAAGAAAAAAGCCAGAACAACTCCCTGCTGTCTTCTCTTTTCCGGAGAGGAACCCAGACCCCATGTTCTCCCTCCACATATGCATATTTAGTTCCACCCACTGCCAGCTGTGCAGAATGCACGGGTTTCCTTCCATGTGCACTGGCAGGGCAGGAAACAGGCTAGGAGGCACACAGTGGGAGCGAGGGGCAGGAGTGAGGGCAGGAATCAGTGCACTGATGGAGGAGGTCCCCCAGCTCCCCCTTCTCAGTCATGATGCAGCATGCAGTGTTCCGGAGCATGAGATAGAGGCCAGAGGCTGCCCCCTGGCACTGTCCCCTCTCTGAGGTCCAGCATCCTCTTCCTAATGCCCACTTCCCAGATTGCTTCCAATTCCACCTGGGTGGCAGTATAGGGTTCTCTCAATATTCCCTTGGCACATTCCTTTCTTTATTCAAAATAGAAGTCTAGAGTATGTTAGTGGTTTTTCTTTGGTGTGTGTGTGTGTGTGTGTGTGTGTGTGCGTGGTTTGTGTGTGTGTGTTTGTGTGTGTGCGTGGTTTGGGGACACACCTGACTGCATTCGGGAATCACTCCTGGCAGCTTGGGGACCATATGGGATGCTGGGAATTGACCTCAAATCTGCCACATGCAAGGAAAGTACTCTATCCGTGTTATATTATCACTCTGGACCCTATATCCTTATTATTTAAAAACATATGTTTAGTAAGCAAAATAATCACACCAAAATGTTTTATAGGCATCTTTTAATGTTCCACATAGAAGATTCTAAAGAATCCAA